CACGTCCGCTGGTCTGGATGGGTCTTCCACTGCTTCCACAAGCATCGGGCTTCCTTGGGAATGTTCTTTTATTCTACCCCAAATTATCTTCTCTGACATCAGGGTTATTGTAGTTGACTTAAGTGCTGTGACATGCAAATCAACAGATGCAGCAGCACTTACCAGAATTTGACCTTTGTTGTTTCCAATCGTCATTTTATCAAAGTTAACTACACACTTCCTCGGTAATAAGTAGTCCAACCCTAATATGCATTGGTCTTCAATGTCAGCCAGGTATACTTTGTGTCTGTCCCTTATGCCCATGAGCTCAATAGTTACTCACACTGGTCCCCACAACCTTGCTTAATGTCCTGTCACACCACAGAGCTTCTTTATGGCTTCTGGTACTCCTTTGTGATACAGCACCTTGATACTCGCAAGAGTTTGCTGAGATGCAGAATTTATGACAAAGTTGCACTTTTGGCCATCCAGCTTTCCTGTCACGTAGACACTATGTGTGCTTGCCATTTTACACTTAGTTGTTGGGTCTTTCACAATGGAGGTTGGTGGGCGTCCCTCAACACCAACCATTACTGGTTTCCCGAAGCTGACTTATGAGTAGTATTCTTCTTACACTGGCTCCTCATATGTCCCTGCTCTCCACAGTTCCAACAACCTTTCTGGGTAGCAACCTTTCCTGTCATGGCATCTTCCCTGTGTTGAAGTTGCTGGCATTGAGCTCTCTTGTGCCCAGGTTTGTCACAGTGTCAGCAAAGTCCCTCAAACTTCTCCAAAAGCTGCCCTCTTCTGGTTTTGAATCGCGATGACTGTACCAACCTTGGTACCTCTGTGCTGGATTTAACATGGGATATGAATTCAAGAGCTCTGGCTATTGCATCCTGTATAGTAGAGGGGTGTGCTTGCTTCACTTGTATCTTTAGTTGTGGACTGTCAAAGGCATCTACAAACTGATCCCTCAGCAACAGCTTGAGGACATCGGGTGGTGCAGTTGGGTAGACCTTATGTGACATACTTTCTAAATCCTGTGCCAGCTCCTGCAGGCTCTCCCCTTTAACACGGACTTTAGTCCTAAATCTAGCTTTGTAAACTTCAGACTGATTTTGAGTTCCATGCCTGAGTTCTAGAGCAGCTACCAGTGCTCTATACTTGTGCCTGTCATCTGCTGACAACTGTCCAAGTATT